TTGTGGACTTCAACTCCCAGAATTCCTCAGCCAGCCACACTGGCTGAGGAATTCTGGGAGTTGAAGTCCACAAGTCTTAAAAGGGCCACGTTTGAAGATCCCTGGTATAGGGTTTCCTGCCTGAGCAGGGGGTTGAACTAGACGACCTCAAAAATCCTTATTATTGTGATTGTTAAAATAAAAGTAACCCCCTCCTTTGCACAGTAAACCAACCTCAAAAGGTTTGTTTGGAGTTAGATAACCAAAGGCCAGTTGACACTAATCAACTTTTTCTTATCAGGAAATAGTATCCAGCTATCCTTCTGTAACTTTTATCTTTTCAGTTTGGGGAGGTTGAAAGCTATCTAAGGGTTTTATAAACCCTTTTTAAAAGAAAGAAAAGTAAGTCAAATCAAAATGTAAAGTAATGATGTTTAAAAATTGAAAGTAACATAGAAAGTAACTCTGCAAGCTGACAAATTACAAAGTCCCTGTCATTTGCCCCTCAGGGTTAGGGACTTCAGTTCCCATAATGCTGGCTGGGGGATTCTGGGAGTTGGTCCACCCAGCTAACAAGTGGCCGAACACCAAAGTCGGCAGCTACTGTATGAAGATGGGCACATTTTTAGCACCAGCAATAATCTTGTGGGGGAGAGGAGGGGTAAAGGTAGTCCTTGTTTAGCAACCACAACTGAGCCTGGCAGCTTGGTTGCTAAGTGAAGCAAAGCAGTTGCTAAGTAACGTGGTGAGTTTTTACAACCTTTTGAGGCTTGCTTTGCTTTCCTGCACAGATTGTGAGGATTCGTTGCACAATTACTTTTTCTTCGCGCTCACAACAGTGGCCAGTCATTAAACAAGGACTACCTGTGCTTAAAGCAATTAGATCATGAAAAACCTGACTAAATTCTACCCGGCTTTGGAGACGGACCCCGGAGGAAGAACATGTGCCTGGCTGAGGAATTCTGGGAGTTGAAGTCCACAAGTCATAAAAGGGCCAAGTGTGAAGACCCCTGGTCTGAATTACGGCATTGACAGGACCGTTTTGACACAACCGTGGCAGCATCCCCCTGGTAACGGCATCAAAATCCGGGCGCTTGGCAACTGGCACGTATTTTAAGACAGGTGCCCTCTCCCATCTGATCCCCTTTGACAACCTTCCGACAAGTCCAGTCAATGGGCGAAGCAAGATTCGCTTAACGACTGCATGATTCACTTAACAGCCGCAGTGACTCGCAAGGAAGGTAGTAAAAATGGGGCAAAACTCAGTTCACAGCCATCTTGCTTAGTAACGGGGCTCAGCTGCAACCGTTAAGCCACTACCCGTTTTGGGGGTGGCTCGTGGTTGTGGACGTTCATGCCACATGAGCCTTTTCAGGCCAGCTATTCAAACGGGCATCATTGCCTCGGCTTTGTGCGTTTACCGCTTTAAGCCCTGCGCAGTTTCCCCTTTTGGGTGCCGATGCCGGTATATTATATTATATGGTTCTGATTTGATCTGTTCCACTTGCATGCTTTTCTCTCCCAAAAATCTTAATAATAATAGTAATGATTATGATGATGATGATGTTGGAAGGGACTTTGGAGGTCATCTAGTCCAACCCCCTGCTCAGACAGGTATCCCTATACCATATCGGACAAATGGCTGTCCAGTCTTTTCTTAAAAACTTCCAGTGTTGGAGCATTCACCGCTTCTGGAGGCAGGTTGTTCCACTGGTTAATTGCCCTCACTGTCAGGAAGTTTCTCCTTAGTTCCAGGTTGCTTCTCTCCTTGATGAGTTTCCATCCGTTGCTTCTTCTCCTGCCTTCCGGCGCTTTGGAGAATAGCTTGACTCCCTCTTCTTTGGGGCAGCCCCTGAGATATTGGACACTGCTATCATGTCCCCCCTCGTCCTTCTCTTCGTTAAACTAGACATCCCCAATTCCAGCAACCGTTCCTTACGTGTTTTAGCCTCCAGTCCCCTGATCCTCTTTGTTGCTCTTCTCTGCACTCTTTCTAGAGTCTCAGCATCTTATTCCCACATCTTATTCCATCTATCCTATAAAGCTGGTCTGTATGTACGGCGTTCATTCCATCTATCCTATAAAGCTGGTCTGTATGTACGGCGTTCAATAAAGCATGGCAAACACTCCGAGGAAATGTGTTCTTTTACAGACAATAAATCCAGATGGTTTTTATTATATTTTTGCAGGTGCACTTTTACATTCCTAGACGAGAGAGGCTATTACAGATAACAAGCTTTAAATCCATGGACAGAGAAAGAACTATTGACAATGTTCTTTATGTACAGATAAAACAGTAGTCGGTTAGATGTAACCCCGGGAAGGAAACATTGCTTGCAGGAAACAGTAGCATCTCTCATAGGGATAATATTCCTCGCTGGAACCAAGGGACGCTTATTCACTCCAGTGGGACTTACGCACAGGTCAGGAGCCCAGCAAATGAATTTCCCACAGGCCTTAACACAGTGTTTCTCAACCTTGACAATTTTAAGGCATGTGGACTTCAACTCCCAGAATTCCACAGCCAGCATTGCTGGCTGTGGAATTCTGGGAGTTGAAGTCCACATGCCTTAAAATTGTCAAGGTTGAGAAACACTGCCTTAACAGATCCTCTACTACAGGGGTCCCCAATCCTGGCAACTTGTAAGACTTGCGGATTTCAACTCCCAGAATTCCCCAGCCAGCGTCGCAGAAATTCTGGGAGCTGAAGTTCGCAAGTCTTCCAAGTTGCCAAGGCCGGAGACCCCTGCTCTATCGGTTTAGCGTAGTACCAAGGTTTAGTGTCCTATCCGGCGTGGGAGACGAGGAGTCAATTCAACATATTTAGGGGTAGTAAGTCAGGAAGGGCTGCCTTAAATAACAAGGCAATAGCTGACACCACCCCGGCTTATGAAAATGTCTCCAAAGGGGGTGTCAGCTTCAGAAAACACTCGTTTAAGAGGACAGGACACGAAAGGTGAAGACGGAGAAAAGTTTTAGGCGTGGGGAAAAGCAGGGGAGTCAAACTGCTCCAAGTGTCTCAAGTCAGAAAGGCAGCCAGCCATTAGGGAAACAATTTAGTACTCCCACTTCTCTTTCTGCTGAATGCTTGCCAAGCAGCTTGATGAAATTCTGGACCGGCCTTGTTCTGCCTGCTCACGGTGAAAAAGCCACAGGTCGGCGCCGGGCTTCATCTTTGCATACTTTTTATCATCTTTGGATTCCTCGCCGAACTTCCACCTCTTAAGTCAGTCCATTTTATTTTGTTTTAATTACAAGGGGAATTAGCCACAGCAAAATGGGTGGGTGGGCTCGGCAGAGTGTCTGTTACGTACGACTCTAAAAGGCCAAACCAGCTCGCCAAATAAACGCCCCTCTGACCCGTGTCTGATCAGCTGCTCGCCAGTCCAGAAACGTACTTGGCAAATTCAAAAGCAGAAGGTAACGTGGAATGAGGCTGGGAGGGGTGGGGGTCTCCGGAGGCACCACGCCAGCAGAACGCCTCTTGGGGGTCTCCTTAGAGAGGGTGCAAGACCCTGGAATTCTTACGCCTCCCCCCCCCGAATAGAGAACATGTAACAAGGACCCTTACGCTTAAGAGTAATGTCCTCGCGGACCCATGCAGACGTACACCCTTATACACAGTTGAAGAAAACGCGGGCGTTAAAAACATGTCGGGAAAAGAGCCGATGAGAATATATTCACAGTTACAACCGTCAACGTAAAAAAAAGGGGGGGGGGAAGACAACCGAACTTGCCGTGTGCAACAATGTTAAATACACAAACCGAACTATAAAACAATACAAAGGTGTTGGGGCGGGGTGGGCGCAGTCTTCAGCTCTTGGACCCCACCCCACCCCTTTTTCAGCAGCATCTCACTTTCCATCCCCTGGCTCGGTAGCCTGCCTTACTAACTACTAGGAGCAAAAAAAGAGGACGGGAGTTGGAACCTCTCGGACCCAGATATTTGGAGTCCCCCCCTCTCAAGCGTGGCTCCGATTTGTAACGCTGCCATTGAGAGGAGAGCAGAAGAAACCCCCCCTCCAGAGGTTTAATTTCTCCTGGGGGGGAACTGGAGATGAGAAGCTACAGTGGAAGACAAGGAAGCCGTGGGTCACAAACGCTCCCAGGTTCTAGAGGAGGAGATGGTGAGGAGAGGAAGGGGGACAACTATGGGTGGACAACTGCTAGACCAGGTAGACCCTCCTGGTCTCCACAGTTGAGGTTCTCCAGGAAACCGATCCACCTGGAACCGTGTTTGTTTGGTTGTTGTTGTTTTTAAATTCGTCCTTGCAAACAAGCCAAGGATTGATGGAACTTCCTTCTTTCTATTGCCAAAAAAAAATTAAAAAAAAATGGGAGAGCGGGTTTTGGAACCTTCCCCTTTGGCGTTTCTACCGAAAAGCTTTGGTGGCATGTTTCGGCCTCGCCTCTTTCGCAGTTTCCACCCACCCGCCCCCCAAAAGTGCCAGTCTTTCAATGGAAAAGGAAGAAGGGGGGGGGAGAGAGAGAAAAATAGTCATGGCTAGCAAAAAAACAAAATAAAATAAATCCTCTCGTCACTTCTCAACCTCGCTACCGGGCGTCATCGAGGTGACCGCGGCGAGGCTGGCCTTTGGCTCCAGGGATCGGAGAACCAGAGGTGAGAGAAAGAGCGGAAAAGGAAGAGAGAGAAGGCCACGGGGGGAGCAATGGGGGGGAAGGGGACGCACCACCACCGCCGCCACCGCCCCCCGTGCTTCTCTGGGCTTCTAAGACACACTAATGTAACTCATGCATTTCCGATTTGCTAACTAAAAGCTCGCTGCGCCTTCAACCCCGCAGCCCAAGGCGCAAAAACGTCCCTTCGCGGTAGGCCAGAGACCGCCCTGGGGAGCCTGTCCCGCCGGATGCAAAAGGGACGGATGTTTCTTCTCAAAAAAAGGCCTTCTTGTGGACTCGGGCCTCCTTTTTTTAAGTCCTAGCGCCTCGCGGCTTCGTTACCTCGCCTCTGCATGTGACGGCAAAATGGGAGCCCTGCCCTCGGCAGGCGCGACCGGTTTTTACTTGGGGACCAGCCCGCGAGACTGGGGGTACAGCTGGGAGGTGGAGGCGCTGGAGGGGGAGCTGCCGGACTTCCTTCCAGTTTTAGGCCTGCGGAATGCAAAATAAGAGGAGAAGCGTGAAGAAAGGAGCCAACTGTCCAAACAAAACGTCCCGACGGCGCGTTCACGGGTAGGAAAGACGACAAATCGTGATCTAATTCAGGGCTTTTCAACCTTTTCACCCACTGTACCACTTTTAGGGTATGGCAAATATTCAAGGACCACCCGTCGCCTAGCAAGGTGTCAAAAACTTGATGGACCCAAAAAAAAAAAAAGGAAAAAAGGGATGAAGTACAGGTAGTCCTTGACTTACAACAGTTCGCTTAGTGACTGTTCAAAGTTACAATGGCCCTGAAAAAAGTGCCCCCCGAGCCACAGCCGAGCAAGACACTTGCCTGCCCACCCGGCCGCGCTCTTCCTCCTGTCCGAGGTTTTCATTGTTGTGAGCATTTCTGTTGAGGATTGGCAGTGGGGGTGGGGTGGGGGGGTGTTTGGTTTTTATTCCCCCCGTCTGCTGGGTGGTTGCAGCAGGTTTTGGTCCCTTCACATGACCCTGGGACACTGTGACCGTCATAAATAGGAATCAGTTGCCAAGCATCTGAATGTAAATCACAAGACCCTGGAGAGGCTGCAACATTCCAGCTGATCGGCGCTTCTTCTAGGCTCAGCAGAAGCGCCAGGATGAGCGCCGAGCTCCAGCTGGAGCCTAGCGCTGATCCTGGGGCTTCCGCTGAGTCCTGACAGCCCTGCAGCTCCAGCCGTCTCTCGCTCAGGCTTGTGCGGTGCTGCCTCCGGTTCAGCTCATTCCCCTCCCCTGCTACCCCTTTTCTAGGAGGGTCGCGTACCACCTGCCAGGTGCCCATGTACCACAGGTGGTACCCGTCCCACTGGTTGAAAAGCCCTGATCTAAATCAGAAACCGGGCCGCGCAAATACATTTATGTCTCAGTGTTTCAGAAATTCCTGCATCTCCAGCAGATACTTTTTTTTTCTTTTTAACAGAAATCTCTTCCCCACTTGAGGAGGCTGAAAACCAGCCGATTCAGCCCTCCAACTTCTTAGACCTCCGAAAGAACAGTGGGTTAACATTCCAGCTCACCGGGATTTTGATTTCTTCGACGTGCTCTCAAAAGTAGAGGCGTCCACTTGGATCTCATCTTCATCTTGTAAAGCGGCTTCGAGGGCCGCCTGGACTTTGGGGGCGATGGCCGGGCCCTCGTAATCCCGCGTGGTCCGACTGGGCATATCCAGTTCCAGCAGGACGATGTTTTCTGCCTAAATAGTCGAAATTCGGGCAGAGCTTAATAACTTGATGATTTCAACAGGGTAATAATGTCTGGGGGGTTTTTTTTTCTAAATATTTTCTAGGTTTCTTTTTTTAAATATTCCCTTTATTTTGGGTTTATTGCTGTCTTTGGTAAGCCACACCAAGATGTAACATTGGGACGGCTTATGGCTCTCATAATTAAATAGGAGACAATTAATAAAGGCCACAGATTGCAGTTCCTGCAGGAATCTTCCCAACTCATGGTTGGCACTTGCTAGGACAGTGGTGGCGAACCTATGGCACGGGTGACAGAGGCGGCACTCGGAGCCCTCTCTGTGGGCACACGTGCCGTTGCCCCAGCCTCGCCTCCCCCTTGACCCTCTCCTCACCAGCAGCCCCCCTGGAGGAGAGTCGCCCCCGAGCGTGACCCACGCGGGGCAGCGCAGCCAAGGACATGGCAGCCAGGCAGCATAGACAAGACCAGTGATGGCGAACCTTTTAGAGACCGAGTGCCCAAACTGCAACCCAAAACCCACTTATGCATCGTCAGGTGCCGGGTGGGTATGGCCCATTGGGTGGGTGTGGCCCATTGGCTGGGCGTGGCTGTGGTGGTAACGGCAGACTGGGCGGGACTAAAAAGTTCAATCAATCAATTCCAACTTTGCAAGATCTTTTTTTTTCCCACGAGAAGTTGAAATTGACTGATTGATTGAACTTTTTTTTTGTGCACACAGCGGCGGAGGCCTAAAGCGAAAAGGTTTTATAAAACCCAGCTGAAGGCCTAGGACTGGGGCGACGGCACGCGTGCCCACAGAGAGGGCTCTGAGTGCCGCCTCTGGCATCCATGCCATAGGTTCCCCACCACTGGACAAGACACTGCCCTCACGGCCCATCGCGCACAGTCGATGCTGCGGGGTGAGGGCAGAGGGTGTGGCCGCCACGGCGCTGCTGGGCTGCCTGGGCAATCTGCGGTGGGCCCTGGAGGCGGTAAGTGGCCCTGCGGGCAGGCGGAGTGGGGGCGGGGCAGGGGGTGGAGCAGGGGCGGGGCCAGTTTTGGGGCACTCGGTCTCTAAAAGGTTCGCCATCACTCTGCTAGGAGTTAGATAAGGGTCCAGGGAATTTAAAAAGGGTGACTCTCTAAAAGGATGCAAATGACTGGTTGTCTGCAAGGAGTATAAATCCTTCCATCCGACTTGAAGACATTTCCCTTCTCATCCAAGAAATATCTTCAGCTCTGATTGGATGGTGGAGAATGGAAGAATTTATACTCCTTGCAGACAGCCGGTCATTTGCATCCTTTTAGAGCGTCATTGAGGCCACCTGGAGGCTTACCTGAGTCCTCAGGGTCACCTGAGTGGCGCAAATGGGCGTGGAGCCTTTTGGGGACTGCTGAAAGGAATTCTACACCCATTTGCACCACTCAGGAGACCCTGAGGACACAGGTATACCTCCAGGTGGCCTCAATGACTCTCTAAAAGAAGGCAAATGACCAGCAGTCTGCAAGGAGTATAAATCCTTCCATTCCCCACCATCCAGTCAGAACCTGAAGAAGCTTCTCGGATGAGAAGCGAAATGTCTTCAAGGAAAAACAAGAAAGTCCAGTTGCCTCATGAAAAAGCACCTTTGGGACAACCGTGACTTGGATGACTGTGAATCTCCATAGACTGCAGCCATAATGAGAAAGGCAGGGCTAGAGGAATCAAAAGTTGGAATTAAGATTGCCGGGAGAAATACCAACCACCTAAGATATGCAGATGATACCACTCTGATGGCAGAAAGTGAAGAGGAACTAAAGAGCCTCTTGATGCGGGTGAAGAAGGAGAATGCAAAAGTGGGCTTGAAACTCAACATTAAGAAAACCAAGATCACGGCATCAGGCCCTCTCAATTCCTGGCAAATAGATGGGGAAGAAATGGAGGTAGTGACAGATTTTATCTTCCTGGGCTCCAAGATCACCGCAGATCGGGACTGCAGCCAAGAAATTAAAAGACGCTGGCTCCTGGGGAGGAAAGCCATGGCAAATCTAGACATCATACTAAAAAGCAGAGACGTCACCCTGCCAACTAAAGTACATATAGTCAAGGCCATGGTTCTCCCAGTTGCAATGTATGGCTGTGAAAGTTGGACCAGAAGAAAGGCTGAGCGCCAAAGAATTGAGGCCTTTGAACTCTGGTGCTGGAGAAGACTCCTGCGAGTCCCCTGGACTGCAAGGCGATCCAACCGGTCAGTCCTGGACAAGATCAACCCCGACTGCTCTTTAGAAGGCCAGATCCTGAAGTGGAAACTCAAGGACTTTGGCCACCTAATGAGAAGGAAGGACTCCCTGGAGAAGAGCCTGATGCTGGGAAAGATGGAGGGCAAGAGAAGAAGGGGACGAGAGAGAAGGAGGTGGCTGGATGGAGTCACTGAAGCAGGAGGCCTGAGCTTCAATGGACTCCAGAAGATGGCAGAGGACAGGAAGGCCTGGAGGAACGTGGTCCGTGGGATCGCGATGGGTCGGACACGACTTCGCAACTAACAACAAAAGGCCTGTTTTTCTACCGACTGCACATCTTTCTCAGGTGAGACCTCCTGGTATTTATTTTTCACCGCACTCCTTAGTTTTATTCCCAATCTCCCCCATAAAACATAGTCTGAGCTCACCCTGTATCGAGCTTCTGGGCGGACCATCATGGACATCCTCGCATGCTGACTCAGGGGCCTCTTGTACCCCACGGCAGACACCGGCCTTCTCATCATTTGTTGGTTCCTGGAATAGGCAAGGGAAACAGCAGGTCAAATACACAATGCCCGCCCTCCTGTATGAGGAAAAAGACTTAAATACTTAAAGTGTAATAAAAATCTTAACCAGTAAGAAGGTTTCAAAGATTGTGGGGGAAACAAACTTAAACAAGAATTGCAAACAGGATCTATATGGTAAGGCAATCAAGATGGTCAGTCGGACAAGAAGCGTGGTGGTTACTTGTAGAAATATTAGAAAAAGTCTACATTTAATTGTTATTTCTCTAAATGATAAGGACTGTATTAATTCAAGTTGGGCAAAAAGAGAAAAATTTTTGAAAGAAGAGAAAACACCAAGCAAAGCTATTATGTGGACTATAGAATTATAGAAACTAATTGTTACTGATTGTTTTTTAAATATAAACCCAGACAACACTAAATATGAAGGTGACTATGCAAAAAAAAATTAATAAAACATATTTTTTAAAAAAACAAATACACAATGCCCTCTCTGTTTATAACATACACACACACACACACAAACACACACACCGTAAGATTTGGGGAGCCTTTCCGGCCACTATGAAGACAATTATTTAGTCTGGAATGATATAGGCTTTCCTCCCTGAGCACGGGGCTGGACTAGATGACCTCCCCACCATCCAGTCAGAACCTGAAGAAGCTTCTTGGATGAGAAGCAAAACATCTTCAAAGAAAAAAAACAAGGAAGTCCAGTTGCCTCTTGAAAAAGCACCTTTGGGACATCCCTATGGTCCCATGATCAGGGGACTGGAGGCTAAAACACATAAGCAACGATTGCTGGAATTGGGTCTGTCTAGTTTAATGAAGAGAAGGACGAGGGGGGGACAGGATAGCCGTCTTCCAATATCTCAGGGGTTGCCCCAAAGAAGAGACAGTCAAGCTATTCTCCAAAGCGCCTGAAGGCAGGACAAGAAGCAACGGATGGAAACTCATCAAGGAGAGAAGCAACCTGGAACTAAGGAGAAACTTCCTGACAGTGAGGACAATTAGCCAGTGGAACAACCTGCCTCCAGAAGCGGTGAATGCTCCAACACTGGAAGTTTTTAAGAGACTGGACAGCCATTTGTCCGAAATGGTATAGGGTTTCCTGCCTGAGCAGGGGGTTGGACTAGATGACCTCCAAGGTCCCTTCCAACTTTACTATTATTATTATTATTATTATTATTATTATTATTATTATTATTATTAATCTTCTCCTTTATCAGTAGGCCTGTCTTCTGCAGGAAGATCTGTCCCCAACCTGGTCTTTCAGATCGTCCACTGGTGCCCCTGTCACCACTCTGAGTCCCTAACTGCGTCGGAAGGATGAGGAAAGGAAGGAGGTGGGATGTGTAGGGTAGTTGAGAGGAGGAAGGAGGAGGGAGGTGTAGGTAGGAGAAGAGAGAGGAGGGAAGTAGGCAGGAAGGGTGAAAGAGAGGGTGGACGCAGGCGGGGGGGAACTGCTGAACATCTCGGAATAGATATTTAATATGGGATTTTTTTCCTTGTTTATTAATGTATACCATATTTGTAACTTGTTTATTTGAAAATCAATAAAAATTTGAATATATATATAAAAAAATCAGAACCATATAATATAATATACCGGCATCGGCACCCAAAAGGGGAAACTGCGCAGGGCTGCCCCAAAGAAGAGGGAGTCAAGCTGTTCTCCAAAGCGCCTGAAGGCAGGACGAGAAGCCACGGGTGGAAACTAAATCAGGGAGTTAAGGAATTGAGTTTGTGTGAACTGTGTTTTGTTTGCCCTGGACATGGACTCAGGTCTGTGAAGAATAAAAGAGGATTGGTGTTTTTTTTTTTCTCCCGCGGTTCCAGCCTGCTTAGTTGGAAGAGGGGCTTCTCCTTGTGAGCGTAACCAGGACTCATGTGGGGCTGGGACAGAACAGACGTCTTCCTCAACCCTCCAAGTGAAAGGGGACTCACTCCAGTCGGGTGATGGGGTGAAGTTTCCACTGGTCCTCCTCCTCATCAAAGAAGGATCTGTTCATGATCTTGTTCTTCTCTTCCAGAGGAATGAAGTTCTCGATGATCAAGTGCCTGGGTCAGATCGGGAAAGGAGAAAGAGTGAGAGACGGCGGCCTGGGTGGGAACCCAGAAGATGTCTTCCTCGGCGGACTACACTTCCCAGATGGACCACGTCAACAGTTCTTGTCTCTGGGGCAGCTGACCACCGTCCCGTTGCTTCCCTCCCACGTTCTGGACCAGGGTTGGGGGGGGGGGGAAGGATGGCCCTGTTGTGGCTTGTAGACTTCCATCCCTGGAATTCTGGCTTCCCGGGCTGGCTCGGGAATTCTGGGAGTTGTAGTCCCCAAGGTATCAAGGAGCCGCCTCTGTTCTAGACCTGAAAACGGCAATACACGGGTTAGTCGGAACCTACTTCAGCTTGAGCTCCCGGGTCAGCTCGTTCTGGGTCTGTTCCAGTTCTTGCCTCTCCTTGATGTGCTCCTCCTGCAGGTCGTGGATTTCGGCCTTCACGGCTTGCAGCTTAGAAAACAGCTGGAAGAGAGGAATACAGCTGTCGAGGGGGACATGCACAAGGCGACTACCTCTGCGCAAAAGACCATGCGTGGGCAGTGGCTAGAATGCGGCACTGCAGGCGGATTCTGACCACAGCTTGGAGTTCGATTGTGACTGGCTCAAGCCTTCCAGCCTTCCAAGCTTGGTAAAATGAGGACCCAGATTGTTGGGGGCAATACGCCAACTCTGCAAAACTGCTTAGAGAGGGCTAGAAAGCACTATGAAGAGATATATGTCTATTGTTCAACACACACACCCCATCTCTCATCTACCTATCATCTATCTCTCATCTCTATCGATCATCTATCACAGTGGTGGCGAACCTATGGCACGGGTGCCAGAGGCGGCACTCAGAGCCCTCTCTGTGGGCACGCACGCCGTCGCCCCAGTCCTAGGCCTTCAGCTGGGTTTTATAAAACCTTTTCGCTTTAGGCCTCCGCCGCCGTGTGCAAAAAAAAAGGTTCAATCAATCAGTCAATTTCAACTTCTCGCGGGAAAAAAAAGATCTTGCAAAGTTGGAATTGATTGATTGAACTTTTTAGTCCCGCCCCGTCTGCCGTTACCACCGCAGCCACGCCCACCCAGTGGGCCACGTCCAGCCAATGGGCCACACCCACCCGGCACTCGACGATGCATAAGTGGGTTTTGGGTTGCAGTTTGGGCACTCGGTCTCTAAAAGGTTCGCCATCGCTGATCTATCATTTGTATCTCTATATGTTATCTATAGCTATAGCTATCTATCTCTCATCTCTCATCATCCATCCATCCATTTATCTATACCTATCATCTCTATCTATCATAGATGATAGATGAGCAGAGGAAGTGCCATGGTTAGAATGGTGTATTTCAGGCAAACTCTGCCCACAGCCGGGAGTTCGATCCTAACCAGTCCTCCTCCTCCTCTTTTCTTCTTTCTTTTCTTTTCCACAACCCCCCCTTCTAGCACTGATGATGTTACCTACTTGTGCAATGAAACATCTGCAAAAAAGCAACCCAGCTCAGAGAGATCCAAGGTCCTCACAGTTTTCCTCCTCCTCCTCCTCTTCCTCCTCCTCCTCACAACCCCCCCAACACTGATGATGTTCCCCAGTTGGGTAACGAAATGTCTGCAAGCAAACCACCAAACTCAGAGAGCACCAAGGAACCCATAGTCCTTCTCAACTCCTCCTCCTCCTCCTCCTCCTCCTCCTCCTCCTCCTCCTCGCAAACCCCACTCCCTTCTAACACTGATGATGTTCCCTAGTTGGGTCATGAAACGTCTGCAAGAAAACCACCAAGCTCTGAGAGCACCAAGGACCCTACAATCCTCCTCCTCCTCCTCCTCCAACCTTTTTCCCTTCTAGCATGGACGATCTTCCCCAGTTGGGTCACGAAACGTCTGCAAGACCAACAACCTACAGCTCAGGGATCCCCAAGGAACCCCAGCTCATTCCAACCCTGAGCTACAAAGATTCTCCTTGACTGGTCATCACCTTTTTCAGTTTTTTAGTTTTGATGTCCACCTCCTGCTGTAAGGAGCTGTAGGTCTCCTTCAGCTCCAGGGTCTCTTCATCCCGGCTTTCCATCTGCTGTTGGATTTCTCGCTCCCGTCGTTTCTGTAGGACACATCAAGGTGTTCGCGTTCATTTCAAGCTTCTCCGTTCACTGATCTAGGCCTTCACGTTCTTGTGAGAGCGCCCTTCATAGGGGGGGACTCTCAACTTGGCTGAAGAATTAACCCAGACATGTCAAACACAAGGCCCGGGGGCCGGATGCGGCCCGTGAAGTGGTTTCATGTGGCCTGCGAAGCCATCTTGGAAACAGTGAGGGAATGGCCCCCTCTGCCTTGGCCCTGGCCCAGGCCAGCCGGGAGCCAATGTACAATTTTGTGGTGGCCATCTATGCTGAAAGGCATTCAGTCTTAGCTCCACAAGACCGTCTGGAAACAGCGAGGAACCGGCCCCTGCCGCGTCGGCCCAGCCCCCTAGGTGCATGCTGGGGAGGTGTCACCCTTTGTGAGGAATGAAGAAATGCACCATCGCCTGGAAGTGGACAGCAAATGGCCCTCGCCTACTTCACATATCCGGCTTGATGGGCTCTGCTCTGGTCCCACCTCCTTCTGCCAGAGACCCTCAGATCTGTCCCACTCCTGCCCAGGCCCCCCACAGGCCCCCTTGATGCGAATGTAGAGCTGGCCACGCCCACCCAGTAGGCCACACCCACTCCATCCACGCCCACCCAGTAGGCCGCAACCCCCCCCCGAGGGCAATTGAGTTTGACACCCCTGAATTAACCCATCTCCCAAGAGGGTTCGGAGCCTGAATTTGCGGAGGAAAATGAGCTGGAAGGGGACCCTATGGAGGCTGAGGGTGTCTGTGGCCTCAGAGGAATGTGTTGTTGCTGATCTCTTGTTCTGTGACTTCTGCTGGGAAACCCGGAAACTCTGACCCTTGGACTGGCTGACAACGTTGCTTCCCTTTTGAAATGGCTCAGGCAAGCATGTATTCATACAGACTGGTTAGATTTATGATGTATGTGTCATTCCTTGTTATCTCCGTGGCCTTGAGTAAATTCCTCTCCTAATCAGACTGCATGTGAAACTACTGGCAGCCAGAGGCAGCTGAAGGTGTGTGTGTGTCTTCCTTTGTTTGGAGCAGTGGTTCTCAACCTTTTTAATGCCGTGACCCCAACCGGTCGTAAGTCGAGGACTAAACCGGTCGTAAGTCGAGGACTAAACCGGTCGTAAGTCGAGGACTACCCAACCGGTCGCAAGTCGAGGACTTTCCCTGCCCGGGAGCGCCACACATGCGTGGTTCTGCCCCCTGCGCCGGCCGAGGCGTAGCTGGCAAGCGGCAGAGACGGAGCAGGCCGACCACCAGCTGGCCCAGCCCAAGGGAGGTAAGGCACCCGCCGGAAAAGGGGGAAAAAATGGCAGACAAAAAAATGGCAGACAAAAAAAATGGCGGACAGCCTTGCTTGGTGACCCCCATGAAATGGTCGATCGACCCCAAATGGGGTCCCGACCCACAGGTTGAGAACCACTGGTTTGGAGGCTTGCCAGAAACTGTGGGAGCGTTTGGGGAAAATTTGGAGCAATTAAAGGGCGGTTTGAATTGCCAGCTGACTGCACTGCCTCGGTGCTGCACCCTGGGTCATCACAATATCAATGAATTAAAAGTTATGAAGTCAACAAGTTCAGAAACCCGTTTGACTCTCACACTCTTAACTTAAAAACTATAACTGCTGATTCTCAACAGAGAGCGACTGATTATACAGTACAGAAATTTTAATCAGAGGAAAAAATAGAAGGAAGTAAAGATGGCTGGCTACTTCAAGGGACTGCGGTTTAGGACGTTTTTTGCTGGAAACGAGCATTCTTCCAGTTTCCAGCCCAAAAAAAAGGTCCACTGGATATAATGGGTCCACTTAAAATGACTGCCCTGTTCTCTTAATGACCACGCTGTCCATTTAACCACAAAAAAATAATTTTAAAAAGAAATGGCCAATAATGAATATTTCATTTTAATCACATTTTAAATTTAGTATTATTGTATTAGTTATCTGTTTTAACTGGCTGTAAGCCGCCCTGAGTCCATTAGGAGAAGGGCGGGGTATAAATTTGATAAAATAAATAAAAATAAATAAAATAAAAAAAAAGTTAATAAAATCAGGCAGAGTCACATGGTGACCCGCTTTACGGCCTCCGTAACGTGCGACCGTAATTCCTGGCTCAGTTACCCTCGATAAGTCAGGGACCGCCCGTAGTTTTCACACTTGTGAAAGACCTTTGCTTGGGAAATATTCTCAGGGCCCTTGGTCCAGGTAGGAAAGGGGAGGCCCTTGGTCTGCAGGTAAACAACAAAATGAAAGATGTGGGGAAAAAATGGGCGGTTTCTGCCCTTATCTCACCTGCTCGGCAATCTCTTGCCGCTTCTGTTCCAGAATTTTCTGCTGCTCGTTTGTGTGGTCCACAATGTTCTTCCCGCCAACAAGAAGCTTGCTCTCCATGGCCTTAGAAATGAAAAATGAAGGAGCACCGGGGGAGAAATTTCATAAAATTAGAACGTTGCAGATATCATCCTGGTCTCACAACTGCAATTCCAGTCAACTTAAAAGTTTAATATCTATATCTGTATCTATCCATCTATCCATCTATCCATCTATCCATCTATCTATCTATCTATCTATCTCTATATCTATCTATATATATGTATATATATATATGTCTCTATCTCTCTATCTCTATCTCTGTATCTCTCTGTATCTATCTATCTATATCTATCTGTCTGTCTGTCTATCTATCTATCTCTAAGATCTCTGTATCTCTGTCTATCTGTATCTATCTCTGTCTGTCTGTCTGTCTGTCTGTCTCTCTCTCTATCTATCTATCTATCTATCTATTATCTGTCTCTCTCTATCTATCTATCTATTTATCTATCTATGTCTGTCTGTCTGTCTGTCTGTCTATCTATCTATCTAATCATCATTATGCTGGTTAATGACCAATAAAAATATACTATTTGGTATAAAAGACATCTTACCTTGATTTTGGCCCCCAGCTTTTCAGCCGCTTCTTTCTCACGTTTCAAGTCCTCCATCTTCTTCTCCTTCTCCTTCAGCAGCCTCATCTTGTCGCCGGCGACCAAGCTGTGGTCCTCCAGGATGGCCTTCTTCTCTACCTCCAGCTTCTCCTGCTGCTCTTTCCAGTAGTCATCTTTGTCCACCCTTCCCTCTTCTCCACCCTCCTCCTCTTCCTCCTCCTCCTCCTCCTCTTCCTCCTCCTCCTCCTCCTCCCCGATCCCGCCGTCTCTCCTCCTCTCCTTCTTCTTCTTCTTGACGATGGACCTTTTCTCCAGCTGGGCCTTCAGGCGAGCAATTTCTTCTTGGAATTCCCGCAGGAGAGCATCCTTGGGGTCTTCGTTGACTCTGGGCTTGTTCTTGATGTTCTTGGCCCGGTTGGCGTACCGCAAGGTGGTCAAGGTTTCCTCCACGTTGTAGGAGGCCGGGCCGATGTTGGCCACCATTACCGTCTTGGCGTTGCCGCCCAAGGAATCCTGGAGCAGGCGGGTCAGCTTCGAGTCTCGGTAGGGAATGTGGGTGCTTTTGCCGTCCACGAGGGCCGATATGACGTTGCCCAAGGCGGAGAGAGAGAGGTTGATCTTGGTGGCTTCTTTCAACCTCTCGCCCTGGGCTCCCGTCTTGGACTGGCGCTCGCTGCCCGCCAGGTCCACCAGGTTCAGCTTCCCAACACGGATATGGTTCTCCCCGTCCAGCCCAACCTCACTGCACTCAATGGTGATGACGAAAATGGCGTGGGAGCGCGAACTGTGCTCGTTCATGTTGGTGGCGCCCACCGACCGATTCTGGTTGCCGACGTTCATCACGTGCTCGATTTCTTTCACGCTTTTGGTGACAAAGGAGGAGAGGTCTTTGACGTAGACGCCCGTGTCAGGCCGCTCCTTCAGCTCCAGCCTCTTGGATTGGTCCTTGGAGAGCAAGTCCCTGATCTCCTCTTGGTAGATCTCCAAGTAGGAGGCCCTCACCAGATACTGCTGGTTCTGCGACCGAGAGATGTGGGTGAAGACATGGTCGAAGGAGTTGGGGATGACCCCTCTTTTCTCGGGGTCCCCACGCACCCCTTCCATGGTGTAGGTTTTCCCTGTCCCAGTTTGCCCGTAGGCGAAAATGGTCCCGTTGAAGCCCTGGAGAACCGAGTCCACCAGAGGCCGGAAAGTCTCATCGTAAAGCTCAAACTGTTTAGAGCTCCAGTCGTAAACAGAGTCAAAGGTGAACGTCTTTGGAAGCTCGTGAGATGTTCCCCGGGGGTTCTTGACTGAGACTTGCCCCAGTTTCACGTCCACTTCCACCACTTGCTCATAGGAAGCCACTTTCTCCTTGCCGTTCATTGGCCGGCATCGTACGACAACTCTGACCGTCTCCGAGCACTTTAACTTCAACATGACAACAGATTAGCCCGGGGACCAAAGGAACGGATGACGGGATCGCGAACAGCAAGGATCCTTCTAATCCTGCAAATAATGGAGTGCAACAACAGAACGTAAGTGCTCAGACTCCATAATAGCTAGCATAGCAAGCAGAAGTTCCTATTCTACCATATTCACACTTAACATCCTAGATCAGGGGTGTCCAACCTTGGCAACTTTAAGACTTTTAGCCTCCAGTTAGGGGACTGGAGGATAAAACATATAAGAAACGGCTGCTGGAATTGGTTATGTCTAGTTTAATGAAGAGAAGGACGAGGGGGGACAGGATAGCCGTCTTCCAGTATCTCAGGGGCTGCCCCAAAGAAGAGGGAGTCAAGTTGTTCTCCAAAGCGCCTGAAGGCAGGACAAGAAGTAACGGGTGGAAACTGATCAAGGAGAGAAGCAACCTGGAACTAAGAAGAAACTTCCTGACAGTGAGAACATTTAACCAGGGGAACAACCTGCCCCCAGAAGCGGTGAATGCTCCAACACTGGAAGTCTTTAAGAAGAGACTGGACAGCCATTTGTCCGAAATGGTATAGGGTTTTCTGCCTGAGCAGGGGGTTGGACTAGATGACCTCCAAGGTCCCTTCCAACTTTATTATTATTATTATTATTATTATTATTATTATTATTATGGATCATCGCACAGTCAGCCAGATGTTCAGACTGGATTTGGCATTTTGTCTACCTATCGAGTCCTTCCCAAGGACCTGGGATAGGCAGATGTGAATGTTTGATGGTATTACAGATCTCGTCACAGGATGGAAGCAGTTCCTAGTAAGGCCGCCTTTTGCAATTGATTAATCGCGAATTTGTCAATGCCGATGATGGTGTACAGTCACTAAGTGAACTGTTGTAAGTCGAGGACTATCTGTACTTCATCACTTTTTTTCTTTTTTTGGGGGGGTCATCAGGTTTTTGACACCTTGCTAGGCGACTGGTGGTACTCGGATATTGCCATATCCTAAAAGTGGTACAATGGGTGAAAAGGTTGAAAAGCCCTGGACTAGATGACCTCCAAGGTCCCTTCCAATATCATGATGATGATGATTATAGGACTTCAACTCCCAGGATTCCCCAGCCAGCCATGATAAACCTTTCTATTCCCCACAATCCATCTCATCCATCTTGGATGAGAAGGAAAATGTCTTCAAAGAAAAAACAAAGAAGTCCAGTGGCCTCCAGAAAAAGCATCTTTGGGATATTTATGGAATTGTAAGCCACCCTGGGTCATTTGATAATGAGATGGGGGACATACAAATGTAATCCATCCATCCATCCATCCATCCATCCATCCATCCATCAATCAATCACTCCTTCTGGGAATAAAAATGACAGCTCCCCTAAGCTCTGCTGTGTTCAACCCCTTGCTACCTGCTCTTCTGTGCCTACTTCAGCTGCCAGAGGACTCCAGATGAAGTTAAACACGGCTCCAGACTCACACCAGGTGCAGCTGAACAGCGGGCAAAGGCTGTTGTTGCCAGAGGAACGGCAGTGACTCACACCTTACCCTCCTCTGTGTAAAGTGTCAATGGTTGAGCCATCCTTTTACCATCAGCTCATCAGCAGAGCTTAATGTCGGCTGGATCCCGCCAGGATTTTAACCCTGGCATCTGTTTGCAACAAACCCGGATTCTCCCAGTGAAAATGGAATCCGTGGGGCTTCTGATTCACGCCGATTGTCTCTGCTACTCTTCTCATCCCCCGGGGATTAAATGGAAAGATCAGAAGCATCTCTGACTTATTAGAAATTCTTCACATCCACAAGGACCCTACGCCCTCGTCCCTCACATCCTTCAGGAGAAAGATGATCAGGGGACTGGAGGCCAAAGCATATAAGGAAAGGCTGCTGGAATTGGGTATGTCTAGTTTAACGAAGAGAAGGACGAGGGGGGACATGATAGCAGTGTTCCAGTATCTCAGGGGCTGCCCCAAAGAAGAGGGAGTCAAGCTATTCTCCAAAGCGCCTGAAGGCAGGACAAGAAGCAACGGGTGGAAACTCATCAAGGAGAGAAGCAACCTAGAACTAAGGAGAAACTTCCTGACAGTGAGAAGAATTAACCAGTGGAACAACCTGCCTCCAGAAGCGGTGGGTGCTCCAACACTGGAAGTTTTTAAGAAGAGACATTTGTCCGAAATGGTATAGGGATACCTGTCTGAGCAGGGGGTTGGACTAGATGACCTCCAAAGTCCCTTCCAACGTCATCATCATAATCATTACTATTATTATTAAGATTTTTGGGAGAGAAAAGCATGCAAGTGGAACAGATCAAATCAGAACCATATAATATAATATACCGGCATCGGCACCCAAAAGGGGAAACTGCGCAGGGCTGCCCCAAAGAAAAGGGAGTCAAGCTCCAACACTGGAAGTTTTTAAGAAGAGACTGGACAGCCATTTGTCCGAAATGGTGTAGGGTTTCCTGCCTGAGCAGGGGATTGGACTAGATGACCTCCAAGGTCCCTTCCAACTTTATTATTATTATAAAAAGTGTTAGAACTGAGCAATTTTTGATTCAAGAGGAAGCTACCTTGGAGCAGAAAACTCCCTCTGGGTGACCTTGTCAGGTCCCTGTCGTTTTCTTGGCTGCAAAACCAACCGCTGTGCTATTATTGCGTTCTCCCACCCAGGACATATTTTTCCACCAATTTCCTAGCTCTAGCCTACATCTGGACACATTTCTGGCAGAAACCCGGTCTATTTTTGGTTTTCTTAAGTCAGCGAAGGTGAGTCAGACACTACGACAGTGAAGCTGGCCAATTTTGGGCTCACCTTCTGGGGGTGTTGTCGTCCTTCAGCATGGGAACTCTTTACGTCTTAGCCCTCTGCAATGTCTCGTGTTCTCCAGAGGTGTTTGTGACTTGGTGTTTCATAACTTCCGTAAAGGGGCACAACGGAAGTGATGGCTGATACATCGCCCGGGTCCTCATCTAGACTATTCAATTCAATCAGAATAGAGCTGGAAGGGACCTTGGAGGTCTTCTAGTCCAGCCCCGTTCAAGCAGGAGACCCTATACTATTTCAGACAAATGGCTGTCCAGTCTCTTCTTAAAAACCTCCAGTGATGAAACACCCACAATTTCTGAAGGCAAGGAGTTCCACTGGTTAATTGTCCTCACTGTTAGGAAGTTTCTCCTTAATTCCAGGTTGCTTCTCTCCTTGGTCAGTTTCCATCCATTGTTTGTTGTCTTGACTTCTGGTGCTTTGGAAAATTAATTGTCCTCACTGTTAGGAAGTTTCTCCTTAATTCCAGGTTGCTTCTCTCCTTGATCAGTTTCCAACCATTGTTTCTCGTCCTGCCCTCTGGTGCCCCCCTCTTCTTTGTGGCAGCCCCTCAAATACTGGAATATTGCTATCATATCCCCCTCTGGTCCTTCTTTTCTCTAGACTGGCCATACCCAAGTCCTGCAACCGTTCTTCGTATGTTTTAGTCTCCAGGCCTAAAACATAGGAAGTTGCAGGATTTGGGTATGGCCAGTCTAGAGAAAAGAAAGACTACTGCGATGCGCAGTACATGGAGCCGCCCTTGAAAAGTATCTGGAGGCTTCAACTGGTTAAAAATGCAGTTCTGTGCCAAGTCTATAATAATAATAATAATAATAATAATAATAATAATAATAATAATAATAATAATAATAATAATAATCAAAAAAAAATGATGATTATGATTATGCACCATTGATGCTAATTTGTCATGCCGCTGCTTGTAGTCAGTCTGTGCTACAAGAAGATCACACCAACTGACTACAAGCAGCAGCATGACAAAGTAGCAACAATGGTGCATTGGAAGATCTGCAAGAAATATCATTTGCCTGCAAGCAAGAACTGGTGGGATCATAAAATAGAGAAAGAAAATGATAAAGTTAAACTGCTCTGGGACTTCAGAATTCAAACAGACAAGCACCTGCAACGTAACACCCCGGACTTAACAATTGTCAATAAAAAAAGACAGAAAAGTCTGGATAGTTGGCATTGACAAATTCACCATTAGTCAATTGCAAAAGGCGGCCTTACTAGGAACTGCTTCCATCCTGCGATGAGATCTGTAATACCATCAAACATCCACATCTGCCTATCCCAGGTTCTTGGGAAGGACTCGATAGGTAGACAAAAATGCCAAATCCAGTCCGAACATCTGGCTGACTGTGCGATGATCCATAATAATAATAATAATAATAATAATAATAATAATAATAATAATAATAATAATAATAATAAGAAGAAGAAGAAGAAGAAGAAGAAGAAGAAGAAGAAGAAGAAGAAGAAGAAGAAGAAGAAGAAGAAGAAGAAGAAGAAGAAGAAGAAGAAGAAGAAGAAGAAGAAGAAGAAGAAGAAGAAGAAGAAGAAGAAGAA